ACAGATATCCTGACTTCCAGCTTAGAATCCTGACAAGGGTAATAATTCAGAGATGGCCTGGCTTTCCTTAAGCTAGTTTTTGCCAGATTTCTTGTTATAGCATGCTTCAAGATGCTTTTTGTGAGAGTCAGAACTTTCTTGTAGAGAGAGAGGGAAAAAAAGAATGTTTCAAGGCAAAGTCTTTTGCCTGAGACAGACCATCTAACGTAGGCAATTATAGATCGAATAAACAATCTGGTTTGACTCAATGCTTCTGAAAATTAATGTATCCTAAATACATTTATCCCAAATAGCATTTACATTGAAAAACTCCTAAATTCTCCTTACTAAGGGACTTGAAGAACAAGTGATAATTTTGTTGAAAGCTGAAGCTTAAGGTAGATCATGAGATTGTAGTGTTTCTAGTTTGTATTTCTTTTTCAACATCTTTACGTATTTTTTCACTTTTCTTTTTCAGAGTCCCGTGTTACAGTACTTGTTTTTCTTAGCCCAGATTCCCATCGCCATGTCACCACTAAGTAACAATAGCCTATTTCTAGAGTATGCCAAAAATCCTTTTTTGAATTTCCTTCAGAAAGGGCTAATGATCTCACTGTCCACAGATGACCCAATGCAATTCCACTTTACCAAGGTATAGTATGGACTTGCGCAATACAAGTGTATTTTGCTGGACTGTTGTTTCCCATCCAGAATTTGAAAGTCAAATAAAGGTATTTCATTATTTTCTTTTGTGCAGGATACATATTATTTATTAATTCATTCCTCCTTTTTCCTCATTTAATAATTAACTGCAGGAGCCCCTAATGGAAGAATATGCTATTGCTGCACAAGTCTTCAAGCTGAGCACCTGTGATATGTGCGAAGTGGCAAGGAACAGTGTCTTGCAGTGTGGAATTTCTCATGAGGTAGACCTGTCCTCAAATGGCTTCCCTTCTGAGTATAGGGTCTGCTAACTTGAATATCGAAAAAGTAGTTGGGAAACACATGTGGAAAAATTGGCCCACGAATCACATGCAGTTACTATGGACAAGGACTAGAAGGGATTATTCTATCTCTTTGCCTATGCCTTTTGGGCAAGGGAAGTAAAATACACTTGATTTCTCAGCAGACTGTGAACACAGGCACTAGATGAGTGCTTTTAATGGTTTATTATTATTATTCTTTTGTCAGTGGCTAACATAAGGAAGGAATTTTTCTAAAGAATGCAATTATTGTCTATACCAGTGTGAAAAGAGACAACAATAATTCTGCATCCTTTTCTCTTATAGGAGAAAGTAAAGTTTCTGGGCGACAATTACCTTGAGGAAGGCCCTGCTGGAAATGATATCCGGAGGACAAACGTAGCCCAAATCCGCATGGCCTATCGCTATGAAACCTGGTGTTATGAACTCAATTTAATTGCTGAGGGTCTTAAATCAACAGAATAAAAAAAAAAAACCAAATAATAATATGAGTGAGAATTTCATTGTAGAGTTTGAATAATAATAGTTACCTGTTAATTGAGTCCCTACTATAAACCAAGGACAATATTAGATGTTCCACTGATATTATTTCATTTAATCCTTCTCACAACCTTTATAAAGTAGACATTATTATTTCCATTTTGGGGAAATTAGTACACTAAGGCTAATAAGGTTAATAACCTGCACAAGGATATAGCTGGTGAAGGGTAGCAGTGGGAATGTAGGTTTCTCTGACTATAGTCTCTATGACTTTCAGGCAAAATATCTAATAAAACTGGGCAAAAATACAAGCAAATGACTTTTTGGGAGATAGGCTTCTGGTTTATAGAATGAAATTTGCTTAAGGCACTTAGAACCATTAAAAAGTCCTTTGACAAGGTATAAGTGAATAGTGGCTTTTTTAGACAAAACCAGAGGGTGTGCCTTAATATAAAAAATCAGTACTTCTGAGTTAGTATACTCAGGGAGAATTTATCTTACAAAAGGATTCTTAGCTTTAAGGATATAATTGACAATAAGATTATAGTGAGCTAAACTGGTACATTTTAAATGATTTTGCTTACCAAAGTAAAATGCACATATAACTTTTAAGAAGCATGCATATTACTCAAGGTCAGGTGAAATTCCAAATGGGCAGATGATACTTCCACACATACAACTGTGTTGGCATCTAGTGGCTGGGCTGACATTTCATTCAATTTACTCAATAAACAATTATTGATCAAATAGCTAAATTATCAGGTACTATTCTAAATACCAAAGGTATACAGAATAAGACTTCATTCCTATCCTCTAGTTGTCCTCAGCATGAAGTTACAGTGTGGCTATAAGTAAAAAAGAGAATTTTGTGAGATGTCTTCAAAAGTTATGAACTTTTTTCTTTTTTATGAGACAGGGTCTTGCTCTGTCACCCAGGCTGGAGTGCAGTGCAGTGGTGTAATCACAGTTCACTGCAGCCTTGGCCTCCCAGGCTCAGGTGATCCTCTTACCTCAGGCTTCCGAGTAGCCAGGACTACAGGCACATGTCACCACACCTGGCTAATTTTTTAATCTTTTGTAGAGACACGGTTTCACCATGTTGCCCTGGCTGGTCTCAAACTCCGAGGCTCAAATGATCCACGTGCCTCGGCCTCCCAAAGTACTGGGATTATAGGCATGAGCCACTGCGCCCAGCCTCAACTTTCAAATGGAAAAAAAATTGAAAGCAAATTCCTGCATGTTTCTATATTCTATACAGGCAGCCATAAGCATAGGTGTAACCCTGACGGCATGTTTGTACTAGCTCTGGTGTAAGAATATCTTCCTGATTTCTTAAGTTGAAGTTTTGTTTGTTGAGTATTTGTAAACCCTTTAAAGAACCAGATTTTATTTTACCTTGGCCTCCTCCTCATCAAAATAGTACAAATTGCTACATTAAACACTGTATTCTCAGACTTCAGAGGGCATGAACTACCATTATGTATATCTCCATCTTACCCATGAGAGGGCAGTACAATACATACATGTGAATTCATTTATTACATCTATAAATTTGGTTTCATATGTGATACTTGGAATTCAACCTGCCTCATTTTGCCAAATAATCTTCCTGAATGCAGAGGACAAAAAATACATTTCTGGGCTGGGTGCAGTGGTTCGTGTCTGTAATCCCAGCACTTTGGGAGGCTGAGGCAGGAGGATTGCTTGAGCTCAGGAGTTGGAGACCACCCTGGGCAACATAGTGAGACCCTGTCTCTACAAAAAAATAAAAACATTAGCCAGGGGTGGTGGTGCATGCTTATAGTACTAGCTACTTGGGAGGCTGAGGTGGGAGGATTCTTTGAGCCTAGGAGGTTGAGGCTTCAAGTGAGCTATGATTGGGCCACTGCACTCCAGTGTGAGTGACACACAGAGACCCTGTCTCAATAAATAAATAAAAAGATACGTTAGATAAGATTTTTTTTTTTTTTTTTTTTTTTTTGGTGGGGGAAGCCCATAAAGATCAGTGTTCAAAATTTACTACAAATAGTATCCACATTTATTTCCTCATTGGGACATGATTTTTTTAAAGTATGTCATTACTTTTTCCCCCCATCATGGAATGTAATTTCTGTTTTACTGTCTACAGGTCATAGTTTCACAGCTGTTTGGGACATGCTGCCTTTATTGTTTGGGTTAAGTTTGCTTGTGACAGTCATCTGTGATACGTAACTAAACATCTCTCTTTCTGGTAGTCTTCTATTTCGGTACCTCTGTGTGAACAAATGTAGGAAGAGTTTGGTCACCAGACCCAAGAGGCTCTGCCTGGGTGGGGTGGGGTGGGGCGGGGCGAGGCGAGGTGGGGTGGTTAGCGAGTGCCTGGGAAACAGGCTCAACAGATCCTTGTCCCGCAGCCTCGGTGAAACTGGGTTACAGCTTGCAGTAGGCACAACGCCATGCACATACCTGAGTAAGAGCGTGTTGCAGGCGGAGCGCTTAGGCATGTGTGTCTCAACAGGGCGTGGGGGCTGACCTCACGCACTGGGAGTATCAAGGCACCCCAGTTCTGAGATTCCAAGTCTGAGGTGCTGCGAGAGTTATTTGCTTCTCTTGACGTTTCAAATTGGCACCGTAGTGCAATTGTTTGCCCACTGAGGTCAGCCTAGGAAAGAATGCTTGGATTCCCTGATTAAGCCAGGCTTTATCTTGTTGAGTAGTTGTGAAGAGTAAACCTTCACATAAAGCGTAGGGCCGTCGCCGTGGGCCCGATGCGACGGCAAGCGAAGGCGATGGAGCTCTGGCTCGAGGGCTCGGCCGGACGACGGTGGCACCGATCGCCCGCCTGCTGGAACTGCAGCGACCGAGGTCCTGGCAAGGTTCTGGCCATTCAGCGGACTTGAGGTGTGGAAGTTCCTCTCACCGCCGGCCGGGGCGGTGTTAGGGGCGGGCGTAGCGGGAGGGGTGGGAATAGAAGCCAATAAGAACTGAGTCTTGCCAAACCGGGCGGGGCTAGGGGTGGGGCTGCAGCCGGGGCGGAGCCTTTGGCAAGGCTTGCGGGGGCGGGACGGAGCGGACCCGAGTGAGACCCAGGAGACTAGCCTGGCCACAGAGACAACGTTGAGGTCCAGACAGGTAGGAGTCGGGGTGATTCGGTGCGGGGTCTCAAGTCGCAAAGGCTTCGGACTGTCGGGGGGGTTGGCATCACCCCTCTGGGCGTCGGACGCGGAGCTGAGGCGCCGCGGTTTAGCCCGCGGAAGGTGCGAGCCGGGCTGGCGGAGGTGGAGTCTCCGAGCCCTGCTGTCTCGGCACCTCCCTGGTCCGGAGGAGCAACCGGGTGTTGGGCCCAGCTTTGGGACGTCCTCTCGTGGCCGCACGGGTTGCCGCGGAGCCTGGCTGAGGACCTCCTCGCTCACCTCAGGGGCTTGGGGACCCCTAGGCGGGGCGCCGCGCTCTGCTGGGGAAGAGGGAGGGAGCGCCCCACAGCCCGGGGAAACGCGGGCTTTCTCCAAGATTAGCTAGTGAGCTTGAACTTCGACATGCTGGGACGATCCACTTCCAAACAATTTTTTGCTTTTTTTTTTTTTTTTTGGTGTTTTGCTTCTTAACAGCATCTAATAAGCACAATACCGAAAGTTGTCAAGTATAATTTTAATTTAAAAATCTGACAATGGAACACCTAAGAGCATTTGAGTAACTAGTGCTGTATAGCAGCTGATGATTAAGATTATGAGTCAAAAGGCTCAAGTCTAGGGCCAGAACCCACGGAACCAGATGTGATATCTCGGTCAAATTAACTTCCTGGGCCTCCGTTTCCGTAACTATGAAACTGGTAAGTTCATGCCTATGGGCATTCTCAGGGCCAAGTGAGATGAGTGAGAGTATTCCACAAATCTCAGATATTTGAACGTGCGTGTGGAATGTGTATATTCTGTGAAGCAACTACTAAGGTACATAGTAGGCGCTTTACAAAACTTTACCCTAAAGCTAGTGATTCTCCTGCAGTGTTTTAGATAAAGTGATAGATCCTTGCTTACTCTGTAAATGAGTTGTTTAAAGTTTTCCCACAAAGTCACCATTGTTTGAGTGTGTTCTATTTTTAAATGATTGATGAAATTTTCTAGAATAGCGCAGTGGTGTTATCTATACACTGTTGCTGAATCATTTACCACGAAGTCTGTAGCAATCAAATAATCTACTTCTTTGCCGTAGCTAAATAGTTGTAGTTTAAAATGCTTGCTAAAGTAAGCTGGGAATATTGCTCCAAATCAAGACTTTCATTTGTTTTTGTGAATTGACGGGCTGCTTATAGGAAGATTTAAATGTTCCAAAATATTGTTAATATATGTTTTTTTATACAGTCTTTATTATAGACGTTTTTATTCTTTACTTTGGATATGTGTGCAAGGGATTTTAGCGGGGAGATGGCAAATACAAAAGAAAATGGCAGTTTTGTAACCCGTAGGCTTTTGCTGGGGATACTTGTAGGCGTGTTCTGACTTTGTCAGGCAGAAACCAGGAAATGTAGTAATTATGTGTCTTGGTCTTTCATTAGTTGGGGGGGGTGTGTGTGTGTGTTGAATGTGGCAGTGCGTTTTTTAAATGCAGGGATAAAGGAAGAATATTCATTTTTCTTATTGACAATAAGCAATTTTCTAAAGCTGGAAATTATATTGCGTTTAAATGATCTGTAGTGAGTCTTAAGTTATAGGCAAGATTTTTAGGCCACTGGATACCAAGACCAAATTAAATGAAGTAGTAGAGGGAAAGTTACTAGTGAATGTAATTTTTATGTATGTTGCTTTAGAAGTTTTACTTAAACATGTTTCAACAATTCAGTGGAGGATGGGTCTTTTGAAACTACTTTAAAACATGAGTTTTAAACATGTACTCCATGTATAAATTTTTCTGTGATTTTACAATTTGTTGATCTTGGAAGTCTGAAACCTTACATTCACATTGTTTTTTGAGGGCCTACTATGCAATAGGCACAAGATTATATTTATGTAAGAGCAGTATGTAATTCTTTTCATCTAGGAGATTCCATTCTACCAAGTGAGCTAAAATAAGTACCGAAAAAACAAAAGCTGTTTTTAAAGCGGATGGTGACAATAACGATATCGACTAACATTCATTGATACCTACTCTGTGCCAGACAGTATTCTAAATTCTTTACATGTATTAGCTTATTTAATCCTCACAACAGCACCATAAGAGATGTTAATTATGATCATCTTATTAAGAGGCATAGAGAGGTTGAGTAACTTGCCCGTGATTAGACAACCTAGATAGCAAAGGTAGAATTCAAATCAGTCATACTCCAAGGACCTGGTTGTAACCTTTGCACTATACTGAGTTTCAAATTCTGTGAGTGAGATACAAATGACATCTAATAGGTATTTTAAAAGGAGGTCTATAAAAAACTATTTCAAAAAGAAGGAAAGAAAGAGGAAAAAATAAACTGGTATTGCAATATATAGATGAAGGCATGTCCAAGATACGATTTAATTACAGTTTGTATGTAGGAACCCTTTTTTTTGTTGTTGCCAGTGAATAACATGGTGTTGATTCTAAGCTCTCAGTCCCTCAGTAACAACAGTTATGGCATTATCTTAACAATATGAGGTGCTTATTTTTCATTAAAAAGCACCTCATAACTTCTTTCATTAAGAAGTTAAAAATATCTGTTCTCAGACTGTAAGTTAAGTGTTAGATTCAAGAAAAGAAAATGCTTCCCTATCTTCAAGAAGCTTATAACCCGACATGTAAATAAGTCCCTACAATTTTCAGCGTGGTAAGACCTGTAAAGAAGTATAGATTTATATATGTTTGAAGAGATGCAAGAAAAAAAAAAGAAGTATAGATAGAGTTTAACCACTGATGAGGAAAAATCATTCTACATGTGGTAGGGAGGACGATTAGAGAGAAGATATTACATTTGGCTTTGAAGGATGAATAGGAGTTTGCTGAAACTGGATCAGGAAACAGGTGATATGAATAAAGAACAGGGATAAGTGTGAAAGTGTATGGTATGTTTGAGGAATGTGTTGTAGTCCATTGTCACTGAAGGCCAGGGTGTACAGAAATGGGTGGTTGGGCTAAAGGAGATGGTGCCTGGAAATAAGATGAAAAAAGAAAATTGCAAAGCTTCCTTGCTGATTGCATTAGGATCACTAAAATTGCTAGGTAATGTGGTATTTCACTTCCCTTCATTTGTAACGATGAAATGAGTAATTAGTTCAGTTTGGCAGAATGTTTCACTAAAAAATACGGTGTTAAAGGTGCTTTTAATACTATGAAGTACAAGATATGTTATAAGACAACATTACAGACTTAGGTAAGTAAAAAGTTAAGATTTAGGGCCAGACGCGGTGGCTCATGCCTGTAATCGCAGCACTTTGGGAGGCCGAGGCAGGTGGATCAAGAGGTCAGGAGATCGGGACCATCCTGGTCAACAGGGTGAAACCCCGTCTCTACTAAAATACAAAAGTTAGCCGGGTATGGTGGTGCATGCTTGTAATCCCAGCTACTCGGGAGGCTGAGGCAGGAGAATCACTTGAACCAGGGAGTCGGAGCTTGCGGTAAGCTGAGATCGTGCCACTGCACTCCAGCCTGGCAATCTGTCTCAAAAAAAAAAAAAAAAAGTTATGATTCAGAAAAAGAGGGAAAAAAGTCTTCTGGTGCTAGGTCATGAAGAGCCAGAGTATCATGCCAAGGACTTTGGACTTGATTCTAAAGACAATGGGGAGCAGTGAAGGATTTTAGATATAGGTATTTAGGAAAGATAACCTGAAGATGGTTTGGAGGCTGGATTGGATGGAGAGAGACAAAAGGTAGGGAGATAAGTTAGGAGGCTATTGCTATTGAAATAGTCCAGATAAGAGAGGATAAGGGCCTGGAGTAGGAAAATAGTAATAGGAATGGAGAGGAGAGGATAGATAGTGAAGGTGTAGAATTTGACAGGGCTTTAAAATCAGTTGGCTCAGAAGGTGAACAGAAAAGTAAATGACTTGGTTTTTTACCTTGGAAAACTGTTTGGATGAAGGGTCTTGTTTTATTTTTTAATGTTGGAGGAAGATAATTGTTTCCATTTTGAACATGTTGAGTTTGAATTATCTTTGGAGATGTCAAGAGAGGATCTAGAGTCCAGAAGCCAGACTAAAATTGGTGATTCAGATTTCAGAGGTAACCAGTAAGTGTTAATTGAAACTGTAAGAGCAGATAAAATTGCTCAAGGGAGCATACAGAATTAGAAGAGAAGAGGGCCAAGAGGGCCAGAATTAGAAGAGAAGAGGGCCAAGAATAAGTGACTTGCTTTGTATAAATAGAAGGGAGTATTTATGCTAATTTCGTTCTATAAATTATTATAAAGCAATGAAATGGGTTTTACTTGAAAGTTGAACAACTTTTACATCCAAATGAGTCCTGTTCTTTTAAAATTTCGTTTGGGAGTCACTCATTTATTCCAGAAGTAGAGATGCTCCTCAATTTTCGATAGGGTTATGTCTGAAAAACCCATCATAAGTTGAAACTGTTGTTAGTCAGCATATGATAAACTTACGACGGGTTTATCCGAATGTAACCCTATCATAAGTTAAGGAGGGTACTGAGCACATACAACTTTGGCACCATCATAAAGTTGAAAAATCATTAATTTAAAACATCAAGTCAGGGACTGTCTATATTGCCCAAAGTATTATTGGAGCTTCTCTTTGTAAAAAGCTTTATAGCAAATTCACAGCTACACAAGAACATTGATCTTCTGGCTTTATTATGGAATTATTTTTCTGTCTTTTTATTTGTGTGGCACATATAACTTATTTACTTTTTTTTTTTTTTTTTTTTTCAAGAGACAGGGTCTTGCTCGGCCACCCTGGCTGGAATACAGTGATGCAATCATAGCTCACTGTAGCCTGGACCTCTTGGGCTCAAGGGATCCTCCTGCTTCAGTCTCCTGAGAAACTAGGACTACAGGCATGCACCACCACCCCCTGCTAGTTTTTGTTTTTTATTTTATTTTTCTTGAGACAGAGTCTTGCTTTGTTGCCCAGGCTGGAGTGCGGTGGCGTGATCTCAGCTCACTGCAACCTCTGCCTCCCAGGTTCAAGTGATTCTCCTGTCTCAGCCTCCCAAGTAGCTGGGACTACAGGCGCACGCCACCACGCCTGGGTAATTTTTGTACTCTTTAGTAGAGATGGGGTTTCACCATATTGATCAGGCTGGTCTCGAGCTCCTGACCTCAGGTTATTCACCCACCTTGGTGTCCCAAAGTGCTGGGATTACAGGTGTGAGCCACCGCACCTGGCCTGACCCCCTGCTAATTAAAAAACAAGTTTTTTGCCCAGGCACAGCGGCTCATGCGTGTAATCCTAGCACTTTGGGAGGCCGAGGCGGTGGGTCACTTGAGTCAGGGGTTTGAGACCCGCCTGGCCAACATGGTGAAATCCCATCTCTACTAAAAATACAAAAATTAACTGGATGTGTTGATGCATGTCTGTAATCCCAGCTACTTGGGAGGCTGAGGCAGGAGAATCACTTCAACCTGGGAGGTGGAGGTTGCAGTGAGATGAGATTGCACGATTCCACTTCAGCCTGAGAGACAAGAGTGAAACTCCATCTCAAAAAAAATTTAAATAAATAAATATTTTTCTTTTGTAGAGGTGGGATTTCACTGTGTTGCCCAGGCTGGTCTTAAACTCCTGGGCCTAAGCACTCCTTCTGCCACAGCCTACCCAAGTGCTAGGATTACAGGCATGAGCTACTGTGCCCAGCTTTTTTTTTTGTTTGTTTTTTAACCATCAATCAAAGCTTTAAAAGCATATTCCTATCCCA